AGGTCAATAAGAGCATCAATATGAATGAGGACTTCAGGAGTGTTTGCTCTGCTGAGTATTTCAAAGAAAATAATCCTCAAAATACAAGAAAATCCAAACCCAAAATAATGAAACAAACAACCCCAAACTCAGTTCCTCCCTCTCTCCCTCCCTCCTTTCTCCCTCCTTCCTCCCTCTCACCCTCCCTCTCTCCCACCCTCCCACACCCAGGATATAAGGAAGCCTTGGAGACAAAATTTAGCACCACTCACACTGGTATGGAACACACATTTCCCTACAGTATTTTGTCTCCACTGTCTAGAGGTGCAACACTAGGTAGCACTTCTTCATTTTGCTGTCAGAAAGGGCCTTTGTAAAGTGCCCACAGAACTTCAGCAGTAGCACAATCATTGGACACTTTGGGAAAAGTGTCAGAAACTAAAGGACAGCAGTCCTTTAGTGTAAAAAGTGTACAGCAGCTGGACACTGATTGAAAAAAAAAAAAAAATCATACTCTTTTCAAATTAATCTTGAGATAGAGTGTCAGGTTTCCAGAAGAAGTAGTTCTATTATTAGACCTAACAAGGTATGAAACATCACAATACAAGGAAGAATGCGCAAAAATGCCTTTTCTTCATATTTTGTGGAGAGTCACTCATTTTAGATGCCCGGCCTTCACCTCTAAACATATTAAGTAATTTCAGTACTACGGTACATTAATCAGACATCAGAGTCCATGAGCATACTTAACTGGGCAAGATAACCAAGAAAGACCACAACAAATGCTGGACTTGTTTTCCCATCTAAGTAGAGGTAAAACTGCAGGTAAAACTGCTGTCAAGTGGCCATTTTGAGAAACCACCAAAAAACTTGGTGGATACTTTGTCCATTTCCACATGTCACAGATCTTCATTGTGACACCAAATCCAAACATAGTGCTCAAAGCCAGGTTCTTGTCCACCTCTGACTGAATAAGGCTCACAGTCCTGCTCTCCTAACTTGATGCATGTTAGAAGATAAAAACACATCCTCTTAATCAGATCACCTAATTTTAAAATAGCTTTTGATCGCATTGTCTTAGTAAAGGTAGTTGTGATGATTGCATACAGAGTACAGGAAAAGCATGTCTTTAAAAGACTGCAGCCAATGTAATTTACCAGAAATTATCCTGGCCCAGGATAAGTTTTAAAGGCCACTTTAAATTACAGTAAGGTATTTATTGCCAGGAACACTGCTCTCTTTAATACAAATTTCTCCAAAACAATTGACACATAGTGGTTGGTCCAGAGGTTAGAGTCTGCAAATGCTAACTGTTCTTTAAATTGGCAATTGGGTGTTACCTATTTCTCAAAAGTAAGGAATACATGGATAAAACAGTAGTAAATTTGGCTGTGCAACATACACATACTCATGAGAATACTCTGGTCATACTATAATAATGAAAGATAGGAAGTAGCATAAAACCTTTGGAAAATCTCCTAGCATTCTAATATATTATAAACTGAGAAACTCAATGAAATACATGCCAGTGTATGCATGTTTATTTTGTCACAATACAATAACTTGCAAAACATTACATAACATTTGTAACTAGAATTATGTGCTCCACATGGTGGAGTTCTTTAGACTCAGCCTGTACCTGGTCCCATTAGCCTTCGGCCAGATTGTTCCTGAACAATCTTTGTTGAACATGCAATGCAGAAAATAGACCAGGAAAGCACATAAGAGAGGGATTTATGCAAAACAATTACGTGTCCTTCAGTACTTTTGTCTCTGAATGAGAACTGTATTATTTTTACTCGGCTAAAATGCCACAGGTGTGCTGTAGATCAGAAGGAAGACATTAATCTTATTTTTTCACAGGCAGTTCAGATATATATGATTATTGTCCTAAAGCAATGAAGAAAGCCAGTAAATTTGTCTAGGCTTTGCCTCTGGTTTGATTTCCTCAGGATGAAGTGGGATATTATTACTGGTGCAGTTACCTCTGCATTGTCTCCTATTATACTGGATAGAGGCTGAATTTGTTTATTCTATTCTTATTTTGAACATATAGGAAAGTATCCCTGCTGTATTCCTTATTTGAAAGAGACTGAGAAACAAAATTTATTCCTCAATGAAGCAAAAAAGAAAAAAAAGGCCTTAACTTCATATATGCTAATCAAATTAAAGGTCTAGTCTAATCATGCAGACTAGTACTAGAGGAATCTTCTTGATCTTTAGAATTTACTTTGACCATGAACAACACAATACTGGCTTTTTTTTCATGACCACTCCTTCCAGGACATTATGCACTGGACCCAGGAAGTTTTTACACTCAACAGTGCTCATCTGACTGCATTGAGGCTGACACTGTACCTCTCTGAATCTGTGTATCAGGGCCTTCATTCCGATGACAGTAGACTGAGAAAAGGTTAAAAAAAAAACAACAGAAAAACAGGCAAATATTTCTTCCAGAAATGTTCCGAAAGCCACACCAACTCGTCCCTTAAAACTTGGGTAAATATTATGCCTTTTTCCTGGATTTGCATGACCACTTGATACTAATGATTTTGTACATGCTTTTTTTTTCCTCCACCGTCAGTAATTGCACATTGACCTGACATGCAAAAGACAATGCATTGCAAAACACATGGTCTTGAAAGGTATTTTTATGGCATGAAAATCACAGTTTTAGTGCCCCTTCCTCATTGGTTGTGATTTTCTGTCAGCAGTTGGGAGAAACTTGCAAAAGTAAGAACAGGTCAAGTACTTCAGTGGCTGCATGCTGGGACTTGGCTGGGGCAACTAAGTAAGCTCTGACCTCTTGGAAAGTTGTAAGGGCTGCTGACAATGGAACAGGAGATAGAATTAAATGAAGGAAGACCTTATATCTCCTGCTGTCCTTGCCGAAGTAGGGGTCTCTCACAGTCCCCTTTAATCAGAATTGCCAAGTCCTGTTGAAGGTACTTCATAGATATTTTTCTCCAGCTCCTTAGCTTTGCAGTCCTCAAGAAAGGACTCTTAGAAGAAGTATAGGATAGCTGTGACAATTAATTACTTCACAGAGGACTACACAGACTATCACATATGCTCAGAGACTTACTTAAGAATGATCCTATCTTAATCAGTATAGGTTTTCAAATATGCTTCTGCATTGTGTTCCCAATTAAGAAAAAGAAAAATGCTACATAATGACAGCATACAGGGTCTCATTAGCTTGTTGTGCCTAGAAAATTAATAAATTAAACTATCTAGAATAGATTGGAAGCTGCTACTATCCTGAAGACAAATAAAAACAATTTTGAAATAAAATTACATGTTTTGTGCTATTAGGCTGACCCTGCAGGACAATACATTACTTGCTGGCTTTCCATGCCTCTTTACTTTCCGTGTGCTCAGTATGCAGAGGATATCTCTTTGATTAGGACCTCCATTCCCAAGGAAGAACAAAGGACTTCACTTGCAATATATAATAGGCATTGCATATTTTTGCTTTTATGTGGTTCAAGGCAATATATAATATGCATTGCATATTTTTGCTTTTATATGGTTTTGCCCAGTTCAGAAAACTCTGGGGGTGTTGGAAGACCACTCATAGCACCTGCCATGCTTTGTCAGATGCTGATGCCCACTATCAAAGATTTAATTTTCTGAATATTAAGATAAAAGTGTCTCCAAACAAATAATCTCTAGATAGCTTCAGGAAATAGCACCAGGAATCACATGAAAGAACACAGGTGCTGAAGAACTACTTCCTATGTTGGTTTAAAGGTCATAAATTCTCATTATTGTACAATAAAAGAAACAGTAATCTCTATGGGATAACATACTAACTTGTTCTTCGACTAAAAGTGGATTTACAGCAGTAATCCAAATTATTTCAGCAGCATTGATCTAGATATTGCTACCAGAGCAAAGACTGGATATAGAGTATGTAGGAGAGGGCCTTTTGAAAGGGCTTTTTTAAAAGCCTTTCACAAAAATCAAGCTGAATTGCAGCTCCATATTCACTACTGTGTTACCAGACAAACTAAAGACACAGCTCCATGGCAGTGTGAAGGTATTTACTGGCAAGTGTGTTAGAATGAAAAAAATTAATGGGAAAGAGAAGGGAGCATCTAATCACTCTAAGTGACCTTTGGATGATAGATAAAGTTGGGGGGAAAGACACAAGCAAACAAAAACACAGTGGAGCACAATGGGCTAAACTTATCCCAAGTATAACTCCTGCCAGCTGGCCAGTATCTGGTTGTCAAAATATGTTTAATGGGGAAAGAACGAAAGAAACAAATGAAGTATAAAATCTGTTCTAGAACATAGTACATTGGTTCTGTTTGGTTAAATCAGTATGCCTTCTATAATGCCATTCTTTGAGATCAATTACTCATTATTGCACTGCCAGTATCAAGCTATGATCCTTGCCTTTTTTCTGACCCCTTTCATCACCCTTCTTTTTCCCCCACAGTGTTCTATAAATAGCCAATGTGCTATTTTCTTGTGATCACTCTAAACAGGGGTTTTAGGTATTTTTTTACCTATATCACCATGGAAACAAGATCTGTGTATACATCTATGATTAGTCTTTCTCTAGACTAAAAGCCTTCATTATCAATGCAAGCTTAAAGCTAATTGTTCTGCATAAGATATGGGTGTCTTATTCCTACCTACTACTTCGGAAATTAATTTCATGTAGTTGCACATAACAAGCTGTAAAGAAGGTTTTATGAAGCCAATAATGCAGATATAATACTTGGGGAATTCCTTTTGGATTGGATATATTTATTTTTCCAAACATTTTGTTTGAGAGAAAACGAGATTGCTATCTGCTGTTTCCTTATTTTTTTGCAGGAAAGCAAAGGGTTGTTGACTTCCTCTCCCCTCCCTTCCTTCCTTCTTTCTGAAGGTACTGTACTCATCTGAAAAAAAAAAAGAGAACGAAATGATTGTTCCTGTTCTCCTTCTTAAGTCATTTGAAACATTGTCACTGCTAGTTTTCTAAGTTTACTGCAATCTCTGCATGGGGAGGGGTGGGTAGGGAGACAGCGGGAGAGAGAGACAGATATTACAAACATCAGAGCAGGTAGTGTTTAGGGCAAGACTCCTTCTACCTTCAACAACTGGTAAGTTAAGTAAAATGCTTTTATGGTTTATACTTTAAAATATATATATATATATATATATATATATATATATATATATATGTGTTAGTATTAAGAAAAGGAGTTAATTAGATACACATTTAAACGATAAAATAATAACCATATGCATTAATAAGCAGTCTATTTACGCTAGAGATACCTATAGTATGGTTTTTAGATACTGGTGCTATTAACATATGGTTTAGTCTATGCAGATAGGAAAGTATTTTCCAAAGAGGCTGATAATATTCATAATATAATCTCCTGTGGATTTTGCGTATATAAGTCCTGCTGCGAGAATCGTGTTACAGGCTTCACTAACTTTATCCCAATGGTTTCAGCAAGATTCACTGGGCCATTGCTAAAATATAGAGAGGAGCTGTGTCATATGGGGATCAATGTATTTCATTTATCATCTGCCAGTACTGAAGTCTGCTCCAACACACCAACCTGTGCTATACTGAGAGAAGAATTACTGGGGCTGGTTTTGCTTCCTTCAAACTGCATTGTGTTTAGGACTACACATGTTTATCTCTCCTCATCTGTGTATATGATCAGTCTAGGAACAATGGCATTTCGGAGGTGGTAAGATGGTTCCTGGATCTCACTTGGAAAAAAACAAAACAAAAGTTCATGTTGTGCAGTACATAACAGCACTGAGGCTGAACACCAACATCAGTAATAGGATGGACTCAATTGTATATCTGTTCACAACTTTTTAGACATCAGTTATGTTTTTCATATTGATCATAAATGTATCAGAATCATTAGAATTTTCATGTGAAATGGGTGACTGAATGCAAGAGTATGTTTCAAATAGTGTGTGAGAAAAATCCCCCCCTGAACTCTTTCATATGAGCAGAATGCAGAGGTGGGGCAAGAAATAGGAGAGGTGTCCATTTCTTTGCAAAAGGACAATTTGCTCATCTTATGATTGTTTCTTCAAGCTTCTGCTCTCCGAAGTGCAGGGTCCTCTGAAGGGCAGAATGCCCAGAGCCCAGACAGGGAGGCTACAAACAGTGGGCAGATACTGCAGAGGGCTGTCAGGCAGCTCCAGCTGCCCTGCTCCAAATTCTGCTCCTGACAGGGTACCTGGGCTGCGCTTCCACCCTGGGACAGCCTCCTGCTCCCAGCCCTCCCTGAGAAAACTAGTGGAAAGGACTTTCTGCCTTCCTCTATCTGGCGTCTTTCTCCAGGTTTTTCCATAAGGAGGAATGATCTACCAGAAATTCAGCCCAGTTTCTGGGTAAGTTGTAGATTTCTTTTGCTTTGGGAGCAGCCAAAGGGGGCTTTGCCAAAGGAGATGGAAATAACTTTTTTCTTGAGCTCCTTAGCCTAATGCTGCCACTCAGACTAGTTAGGTACGAGTTAATTGTTTATTTGGTTATACTTAAGTCACAAAAAATTTGTTATCTGCTAATAACAAATGTGTGCCAGGTCTTGACATGAGAACCATCTGCCACATTTTCCCCTTGAGATATCTGGGTTTATTTTTATGTGAATATATACTGATTCAAATTAAAGGCATGATTTGGACAGCTATTTTGACATGTCAAACACCTGGAATTCCAGTTTTTACATCAAGTGAGGAGACTTCCAAACACACACAGAAAATTACATAAGCTCTATGTTTGTGGCAGTATTTTGTTCAAATTGCAGGGTATTAGTCCGGATTGCAATCACTTTTAAATTTTTGGTCTGGTTGGTTCAAAAGTTAATTTTGCCATGTAAGTAAAACTAAGCTGCAGCCTTTAGGTCCAGGTTTTCTTGCTAAAGATGATAAACATTTGTGTTTTCTTGATTTAGATCATATATACAATAAATCCTTTCTCTGAGAGATCATCTGAAATACATAAATATGAACAAATCTGTTCAAATCATAGTAGGTGAACAAAAGGAGTACCTACTGTTTTAAAACCCAGTCCCAAATAATAAGCACAGAGAAACCTTTTTAAAAGGAATGCTAAGTAATTTGACAGTAAAAAACAGACTTGAATTTTGAATTTCATTCTTATATTTTACCTATTAGGTTTATTTTCCTTTTAAAAATACATTTTTGCAATCCTTTTGAGTTTATTTATTTTTACGTTGTATAATTCATTGCCAGAACCACTGTAACATGATTTAGTACAACAGTCTAATATCTTTCCTAAGGTGTCAGAAAGGTGATTTTTGGCCGACAGGTTATTCCTACGTCACTGAGATATGTACAGCAGAGAAAGGTAGAGTCTGAGTCTGTATTGGCTGCAGATTAGCTACTGGTTTATGGCACAAATTAAATATTTGTGTAATGAATTTTCAGTTATTCACCCCAATGTTTGTAAGAGACGGGACTGTTAATGGTTAATAAATCAACTCTTAAAATTATAAGCCAATAATAAAAAGAAACAATTTGTGTTTATTTTGCTTAAAAGTCTTTCTGCTTCTACTCATAATAGCCATATTTATTTATGTAACATAAGTAAATGATAAGTCAGTGTATGTATATTTCCTCAGAGAATTATTTCAAGCTATTATTTCCATTTGATGTGTTCTCAATTATAATGAAATAAAATTCAGCAGATTATTGCTTTTGTTTGGAAATAGAAAAATAAACCTATACCAGTAACGGCTGAGAGGCTACAGAAACAATTTGTAGCCGGTGGAAATCCCAAGTTAACAGGTCAGGTTCAAAAAGCATAGAAGCTAAGACATGTCTTTCTGTAAATATCATTGCCTTTTTATATTTAATACCAGCTTCTTTAATGGTGTAAACTATTGAGACTTTTTGGATGCAGAATAGTAGCACTGAGTTACATTCCAGATAAATTTTGACATGCCTAATGTACATTTTTGGCCAGGAGATAATTTGAAGCTCTGAATCTCAAGGTGGTTTTCTGTTTGTTTGTTTGTTTGTTTGTTTGTTTGTGTATGGGTTTTTTTGTTGTTGTTGTTTTGTTTTTTAAATTGTTTTTCATTCTCAGAAAAAAGCACACCACGAGAGCCTTGTTTTAGGACTATCTGGGTGCCAAGCAGAAAGTGATGGTTTGAAAGACACGATGTGCATCTCACAGAGAAATGTAGTGTCATGTCTTTAAGGTGCTGTTCCTAGTAGTGCCAGAGAGATACACAGGATTTAGAACATGATAAGCATGAGGCAATGAATCATGGAAGCAAGCCAATTCAAGCCCCATACACTGAGACAGAAGAGTATGGATTTCAGACAGAATTTATATTGTTTTCAATCTTTGAAATGGCAAAGACTCAGTGGTGCAGAAAAGTTTCTGAGTGGACTGCTCCACTCTGCTGGACATGTTAGCAGAATCTCATCATAAGAAACAAAAGCAGTAAAGGCTGCATAAGGTAATGGGGATTTTCTGTGGCTGTGCTGAAAGGACACAAATCAATGGTGTGTAAGGCAACATCTTTTATTAGCTGATAAGAAATGATCCATGGCTTTTGAGCACCAATGCATGTTCTTTGGTACCAATGATCCAATCAAACAGCTCATCAAACAGACCTTGTAAGTGCTGTGAGACAGCTACAGATTGTTGTCAAGTTATTAATTTCCTTGATGGATTAATTTTATAACCCAGCAAATTTTTAAAAATAAACCACCTATTAAAACAAAATAGTTACTTTCTTCTTATGACCAGTAATTTTCCATGATCTAGCTTACGATCTCATAAGATCACTAAAAAGAAAGGAATGTCATCTTGGAGAAAAAAGAATTATAGAGACACAAATAATGCAAGCTTTTGCAAAGAAAGAAACAAATCCGGGGGAAAAAAAAGAGATGGCCTTATTTTTGCTGAAAATTTGCTATTCTGAAATTGAGACTGCAGCTTTCCATTGCTGTAAAAACGCAGTGGCATTTTATAAATGACATTCAGATTTTTATCCAGTGAAGAGGCCTAAGTTACTCCTCAGCAATTATTTAAAACATGCATTGAGTTGCATGCTGGGTGTGTATTTTTTGTTTGTATCTACCTGACAGGGACTGATCCTTCTTGCTTGACTTCTAAAATACTAATGATACAGTAAAAAATATTACTTAATGTTTGGTTTAGATCCTTCCAAGTGTCAAAACGCTTTTGCTTGTTTCTGTAAAACTTTTTATACTTATTACTGTGCTCTTGATAAGTGAAGCACAGTATTTTCTTTCTCAACCAACAATTCTTAATGCACTGTAAAAACTGTAATGTCACTGGTAGTAATTAAGCTAAGTAATCATGGAGTAAAAGAAAATATTTTTGTGCTCTGGAGGTTATGAGAAGAAATTATGTGAATAATTGGTTTTTTTTCTTTTTACTTTCATTTCTAATTTCCTGCTTTTGATGTTAGAAAAAACCTGTTATTAATTATTTAAATGTAGGATAAAAATACCACCCTATTTTTAATTTCTCTTCCCTCTTCTACCATGAAAGCTAAAACCCTAACAGATTTTCCTTCTACTTTGTGGATATGCAGCAATTAAATTGATTAATTTGAAAGGAAAAGTCTTGAGTAAGAAGTGTATTTCCCAAAAACCTATTTTTCCCTTGTCAATTTTCAAAAAAGTAAACCTGGAAACACCCAGCTTTCATCTGCATACCATTAGAACCACTAGAATTCAGAGAACACTGAAAAATACAGAGTTGATGATTGGTTTAATTACTAAAAGTGATAGGTTAAAATGAGTCTCCTACACTGATAACACCACATTTTGCTGAAACAGGTAAAACTGATTTAAAATTGAAAGCAAGGCTGTGAGAAGGAGCACACATTTTTAGCTGTGCTTTTTGGATGATGCTGTAGCAGAAGTGATGTTAATACACAGCAAGACCCTCACAGTCCTCTGTCTGCAGGCCTGATGAAGAATAGACATCACCTAATTTCCCTGCATGGAAGAATCTTGGTCTTTCCACAACAGAGGACCAGATGTGGTGATTCTGGGAGAGAACCATGTGGCTTTGCCCCTTCCTGTTCTGACACCAGCCCCTCTGATAAGGCACAAGTGTTTTGGCTGGGAAGGATAAGATGATTTCTAGTCATTCTTTAAATTTGTTTGCTGCTATCGCTGGTTGTGAAAGAGCCAATTATACTTCAGTCTTCCCTTTTTAGGGTTGCAATGTAACTGTTAGACCCTCTTTGCAGTGATGAAAGACTTCCTGTTTCATGGCGGGGTCTGTGCTGGATATGCCACTTAAAACTTTTCAAATTGGAAAGAGTAAGAGGTAGACTTGCTCTTAACAACATGAAATACATGGGATCTAGAACAAATCAAAAAGTATCCCAGATGGATGTGTTGGAATGTAGCGAGTATTTCAGGTTTAGTTGTTTCTCTGTGCTGCTTTCTAGAGCATATAGTGTTTCAGCTTTGGTCTTTCAGCTCCAGATAAAAATTATTTGAGAGCATTATTTGAAAAGGCAGCATATGTCCTACAATACTTCCAGTTAGCATAATATTTTTCTACTTGTCTGCTTTTGCTGGAAAGTATTTAGAGTACATGTGTAATGAAAACAATACCAGGAGGTGGAAAGGGAAGGAATGACCTGCTTTTAGAGTATCTGTCAGCTTCTAAGAACCAGCAGAAGTTGTTTGAGGCATCTGGTAGACACAAGCCCACACTGCGTCAGTTCCTTAGTGCGGATTTCTGAAGCTGTGAAGACCATCCTGCATTTCTCCAAAACCAAGCCCTGTGATAGGGATTCCATAAAACTGCAGAAGACCTCCTCGAATAGCCACGTGGCAACAATTTGTTCATAGGTTCACCAGAAATTAAGCCCATCCACTTACAAATGAGAAGGAAAATATTTTTTTTCTATAGAACTACAGAGCAAGGAATCACAGCAGTATGAATGCTATATCAAACAGTTTTCCTGCACAATGCTGCACTCACAATGTGAAGTCATCCAGATTTCTGGAATAATTTTGTGTCTGTAGGCAACATTTTGTCAGGATGTCACAGAAAGAGTCACGTATATCAGAGGAATGGTGCTCACCAACTCCTCTTCCTCTGCCAGAAAAATGGAAGTACCAATCTTTCATTTCAAACATATTAATTAATTTTTTCACATCCCACAGAAAGTGAATCTCACTTAAACTTCAGACATGGGTAAGGAATGCAGTTGAATGGCTATCGCTGGATTCTGCAGAAATCATTAGTGATCAGGACTCAGAGTTTACCCTAATGACTTGCTGCAAGAATTTTGACTAGTTTGTTTCCTGCTAAAAAACAATGAAGAGGCTCCCACTGGAAGGCAATGAATCTGGTTAGGAGAGCG